GAGTTTTCTAAACCGGCTTCCTGAAATAGGGCCCTGCAGTCATTCCAGTCAAACCCCAAAACAAAACACCGGCCCACTTTAACCCTGACTATGGCACATGGTTTTGCCTTTTTCACCTATTTTTTTGCAAATTCCCCGGATAATTAATACGTGAACAGGATTGCCTCTCATGTGTTACTGGTTAGGCTCAGATCGGTTTGATGTTTGAAGCCCCTCGGTGATATGAAATAATAACTCCCCCCAAATGCATCAAACCAAATGTAATAAGCCCAATTCATAAGGACAATTCATTAATTAGTGACACATTCACTGAGATAAGAAAGAAAGAAATGGTACTAGATACCACTGAAGCTGTTAAGTTATTAGCCGAAAGATAACCTATATAATGAAAACAAAGGTGGTCCCAGGATTGAGCCTTGAGGGATGCCACACGGGAGAGGAGGAGACGCAGATGTGTAATAAGCAGTGCAAGGGATCCCAGCCCAATTCATCTTTGTGCAGAACAACTTTCAGTGCTCTGAAAAATGAAAAACACGACTTCCTCCTCTCCTTCAGCTTCTGACAACACATTAGACAATAAACCGAAAGGTGGTAACTACCGGAGGAGGAACACGGCCAGCTGTGGTTTGAATGTTCTCTCTCAAGCTCGGGGTGTTAAAGTGAAATTGTAAATCGAGGTGTGGGTTTTTTTTCACAGCTCATTTGTGGTGGAGAAGCAGCCATGTATGCCCACACATCCACAGAAACCCCTCATCATTAAGACTGGAGTACAGTTCACCACCAAAGTCAGGTATGGTGATGTGACATCTTGTTGTTTCAGGATTTGTTTCTGCTGTTGGGTTACAGTTTGTTTCAGTTTATTCTGATTTCTTGCAGACTCCTGGTTAAACTTCCAGAAGTGGATTATCAGCTGAAAGTGAAAACAACATTTGACAAGTAAGATGATTTCTTTTCTTATTAAATGGACCCCACAGTAAACCTGTCTTCATTGCTTGAATAAAAATAAGGTAAAAATGTTGTGTGCTGTGCTTGTGTGTTTCTGCAGGGACCTCCCCCCGGGCAGAGTGTGAGTACAAACTGTCTAAGCGTGCTACTACTAAATGTCCGAGAACAGGAAACAGCAGCAGATTAAAAGCAACCTAATCTGCTCACTAATACAGTAGTTAGGCATGGTTTAGTGAAATAATACTACTTTATCTAATACTGGACCTTAGAACCCCCTCATTTAATTCTCTACATGAAATAACCTGTTTTAGCTTCTTCCTCTTTAAGACAACTTCTGATAGGCTCCCCCTTGAAAGCAAAAGGTTTGAATAGCAGGTGGGCGGAGCATCTGTGCCCGAGGTATTCATACAGGGATATCCACTCTGATTTAACATCATACAAATTCAAGACGGGAAAAAAATAATGAAATGTCTGTAAGGGGGTAAAAACTTAAAGATTAAAAGCCAAAATTAGCCCTAAAGCTTCCTGTTTTATGGCTTCACTGGTGTGTTATTTGTTTGGCGTTACCAGGTGTAAATATGGTTTGAAAAAGCACTTGGAAACCAAACATGCACCTCGGGGGAACTTTGCCTCTAACTTCCTGTAAAACCAGATGCAGAAAAAACATAATATTAGGTTAAAGTCACCTTAAAAGCTATAGGAGTTTACTGAAAGCAAATGGATTAAAAAAGAAAAGAAAAGTGAGTGATTGAGAATGTTTTCTGAGATGTGAATGAATACAGGCATGCCGTGATAGATTTACTTGTTCTCTTGCTTTTTTCCTCGGTTCTCAGTAGGATACAAAGCAAAAATACTCGATGTTCATTAAGAACCAATTGCCTGAACTTCACTTTTATAGAAGTAGCACTTCTTCAATTTTTGCTGTTTAAACAGCTGGTGTTTACTGCCACCTTCTGGTAGTGTTAGCCTGATACCGCGCACTGGAACAGACAGGAAAAGCAATAGGAAATAGGAAGACAGGAAACACTCGCATAATGTACTTGACTTTGTTATAACTTATTGACTTGTCAGTTATTCAAAAATCCATAAAGATATGTGGGCTTTAAAGATTTCATCCGCAAATTATAACAAAAAAATTTACAGCGAAATGTAATCAGCTTGGTTTTCTTTTATAGATCTCTGTTTTAGATTTATACATGTATTGACAGATTATATACGATGTTATACATTGCAGGAAGGACAGTCTGCAGCTGAACCTTCTTAAAATCGCCCTGATTTAAAAACCTTTACAGTAAAATAAGTGGAGTGTTTTATTTTGAAAACTACATACAGATTTTAAATATGGTTTATGTTATTGTCTAAAACAATCCACAAACACTTCATCCTCTGAATTAAGTCCATCTTATAGATGGATGCTGGTAAACATTGATAAGAAAATCAAGTTTTTTCTCCTTTTCTCCTTAGAAGTCGTCAGTTTTTCATCCTGACCAACAACACTAAAGTTATGGACATTGAGGACTACTCAAACGGCTGCCTCTCAGTGGAGTTCAGACATCTGGTAGGACAAAACTCTAACAAATGTTGACAATTGTTTAACTGGTTCTTTCATTGAACCTTTAACCATTTATTTAAAATGGTGTTTAGTCATCTCACTCAGAGTTTGTGTTTTACAGCAGCTGAAAGAGAAGAAATATATCAACGGCACCAAAGGGAACGAGGTAAGAAATGTAGATGACCTACGGAGGACGAAAACTGCCAAATAAAAGAGACTCTGTAAATAAGTTCATATTTAATGAAGTCCACAAAAAGTGTAGGGATTTTTTTTTAAATAATCTAAATTGATTTTTAAAAAATTTATTCTTTTGCATTTTTTGTACTATTTGTAGTATTTTCTTCCCATAAAATTTTCTATTTTATTTATTATATTTTTATTATTTGCAGTGTATTGTGTTTATTTGTATTTCTAAAGTAAATAAATCATTATTTTAAATCCATATAGGTCTTATTCATTTATAAGATATGACCTAAATTGATTTTCAGCTGCTTTTGGATGCCCTTCATGACACAACCCCATGCTTCATGGTTGATTCAGAAATACATCATGTAACTAATACATTTAAATAAATGTAAACATTGAATGGGAAAGTAGATAAATTAGGGAATTAATACAAAGGTAAGTAAATATTGAAGCAAAACTATCAGTGCCATAGTTTGTAAATTATTTAATGTATAGGTTTAATTAATATTTAATGTATTTAATGACATATTAATTGATGTATAGCATCATTTGCTCCTGATTTGGCAGTTTCTGTCCTCCGCAGTGACCATTAATGCTGCTTCAGATGGATTTGTGCATCATATTCAATGAATCTGCCTTTGAACTCCAGTTGATGTTTTACTGTTTTATTTTTCAGGGCCTGCTCTCTGTGACAGAAGAACTTCACTCTCTCAGTTTTGAGGCCTGCTTCACGGTGCAGGGCCTCACCATCGACCTGGAGGTCAGCGGCAGAGCAGATCTATTTCAAACTTGTTTTTGTCGCTGTTCATTTACAAAATAATTTACTAATATTTATTTTTATTTTCTAGACGTGTTCCCTGCCGCTCGTTGTGATTTCCAATGTGAGCCAGCTGCCTGGAGGCTGGGCCTCCGTCATGTGGTACAACCTCCTGACTGATGAGCCGAGGGTGAGCCATACTGGACTTCTTCTAAAAACAGAAAATTCATTCATTTGAAAGTTCAAGTTTTAAATGAAATAAGTTCAGCTGAATCAAACATAAGCTCACTTTCAGCTCAACTTATTTGAACACACCTGGGCATCTTTGTTAAAAGCCTTTGTTTTTATAAATTCATTTCTATTATCTTTAAAATAAAATATAATAATAAATAAAGAAACACAGATTTTATTTTTTCAGTCGACCTCTGTTGTACGGATCTTCACAGGGCATTTCTGCATTTTTCAAGTCTCTAAAATTGGTTTTCCCAAAACAGATGCGCGATTAACAGCATCAAAATGACATAAATTACAAATAAATCTTGCAATTCACCCCCATCTCCTGAGTTTAACATCAGTTCATAAATAAAACAAGAAGAAAACTGACTTAAATTCCAAGTCTTTGACTTCCAGAGCGTGACAACAAATTCTGCTGATGTTCCATTTACTCTGGTTCTTCTGTAACTGTAGCTCATGTTCTCCAGCTGTTTTGGAGATGTTTGTTTTCATTTTTTATGCTTCACAGCCTCCCTCACCTTCTCCATCTTCCTCCACAGAACCTGGCTTTCTTTGGGAACCCTCCTCGGGCCAGCTGGAGCCAGCTCTCTGAGGTCCTCAGCTGGCAGTTCTCCACTTTTGCCGGGCGAGGCCTCAACAAAGAGCAGCTCACCATGCTGGGAGAAAAGCTCTTTGGTATGTTTGTCTTTTAGTTTTGTTCTTTCGCAAAGGTTGAAGATTAAGAAAAAATAAATTAAAAAAATGTGGCTTTAAAGTCGTTAACCTGGAAAAACATCTTCCAACACAGCAAACAGTAAAATATTATACTTAAGAAGACAACTGCAAGCTAACAAGCTAATTAGGACAGAAAGTTAAAGCTGAAGGCAGAAACATCTAAAGAGAGGTGGGAGAGTGTTTACTTGTTTATGGAGGGTGAAGCGACACCTCTGTCATTGTGAAACCACACGCCAGCAGAGATATTCAAGCATGTAGGTGGTGCAGAGACTCCAGAAAGTCGCTCAGTTTAAAAGGGGAAGAACCAGAAACGTTATTCGAGCCAAGTATCAGACTGGTCCAGCTATAAAGTCAAAGTCAGCATAGCAGAGAAACTCTGAGGGGCGATCAGAGGGTCTATAAAAATGAAAAGCCTTACCTCATTTAAATCCAGAGAATCACCCTTCCAGCGTGGCTGTTCTTATATATTGCTGACCACTTCCGCTACTCGCTCAACCTCAAGTTTATGCATAAAGCAAACACGTTTGCTTCAAGCTGAGCTAGACTTCACGTGAAACAACAGGGAGCTTGGTCTGATCAGTCAAACAAATCACTCTAAAAGACCAAAAGTAGCATTAAAGGTGATGAACAACAGCGTTTTGTTTTTTTAACCCAATCAGATCCCAACAAATCAAAGAAGCTAAAAATGAAGCTGAAGCTTCTTTTATGCTCTGTTTTCTGTATGCTTGTTACACTTTGATGTTTCAGATCATCAAACAAATTCAAATAATACACAAAGATAACACAAGTAAACACAAAATGCAGTTTCTAAATGAAGGTGTTTATTATTAAGGGATAAAGATCCAAACCTACATGACCCTGCGTGAAAAAGTGATTGCCCCTTGAACCTAATAACTGTGGAGGAAGTTGTCTCATCTTTGTAGAATTGTTGCAGTTCAGCCACATTGGAGGGTTTTCCAGCATAAACCACAGCTTCTCAATTGGATTCAGGTCAGGACTTTGAGCAGGCCACTCCAGTCTTCATTTTGCTCATGATAAGTTGCTTTTTGAGGTATTTAGTTTCAGTTTGTCAAACAGGTTCTGTTAAAGTGATTTCTTGATTCAGCAGGTCTGCCAGTAATCAGGCCTGAGTCTGTTTAGTGACGCTAAACTTTACTTTCCAAACGATGTGGTTAGTCACAATTTAACAAAAGGGGCAATCACCTTTTCAACCAGGGCCAGGTGGGTTTGGATAACTTCTCTCTTAATCAATGAAATAATCATTTACATTTAAATATTTTACTCGTGCTGTGTTCTCTAATATTAAATTAGTTGTATAATCTGAAACATTTAAGTGTGATAAATATGCAAAACACAAGGACATCAGGAAGGGAGCAGCAGTTTTACACCCCGCTGTATATCGCCTGCTCCTGATCTGTCTGCTCAGCATCCCACTGTGTGAAAATAGTAAATTGTATGAATATAAATGAATTAAGGCAAAAAACAGACAAACCCTGAGATCTCTCTCTCACACTGGTTCTGTACTTTCATCTTTATTGTAGCTAAACATCCTTTTCCTTTCCTTTACCTGTTTGGTTAAAAATTTTGCTTTACCGGGATGTAACATAGGCAGGAAGAGATGACCAGGTTTTTATATTCATTATCATTCCACAGACTCTGCTCTATGAGATAAATAAGCTCCAGGAGGAAAGATATATTACCTTTTATTGAAATTTCCCAGATTACTATTGAAGCCTATGAAAAAGGCACCATGACAGGCCGTTGCGCATGCGCTGCGTTTTGATTCGGTGGGTTTGTTGTTGATGAGAACTTGTACCTCAAAGCCTCAAAGCTTCATGACAACATGCTGTTTGTCTCGGAAACTGTAGTAAAACCACTTTATGCCCACACGGGGAAGGTCACACTAGTACAGTAGTGCTGCTGCTCACAGAGTTCAAAGAATTTTCTAAAACAAGTTCAGAGAATAACTAAAAAGCTGCTGACCTTGTTTTCCTGGGACGGCCATTTATGATAGTTTCTCTTTGTCTCTGTAGGTCAGCATGCCTCCTGCAGCGACTATCAAGTGTCCTGGTCCAAGTTTTCCAAGGTGAGTCTTAGATAATATGAGCATGAGCGGCATAGTACCATTATTTTCTGTGTTATTGTGCCATCTAGTGGCAGTCATAAAACCTTCTGCTGTGTTGTTAATGTTGGTCATGCATTTTTATCCCACATCGTATCTAATTTCAATTTGAAGTCCGAGAAGGTTCTCACTCTCTTTTCTTCCAATCATACAGGAGAATATTCCAGGGAAGCCGTTCAGCTTCTGGATGTGGCTCGACTCGATCCTGGAGCTCATCAAGAAGCACCTGCTGCCGGTCTGGAATGAGAAGTAGGTCATCGTGTCCCGGCTGAAAGATCATAAACAGAAAATGTGACAACTTCTAAAAACAAACGAACAAACAAACAAAAACAACTCCACAAAAAGATGAAAGGGCTATTAGATACATGAACCGCTATCATTAACATATATGAAGGACCAAAACTGCCAACATCAGTTGGGAAAGACAGAACAGTTAGATACATTTATAAAATATTAATATATTTAATATTACATTACAATAAAATTAATTTTCATTAAATTTATTAACATCAATATGGGTTCTTGCTGTGAGCACAGCATCTGGTGTTAACCAATCAGAGACAAGTTTAAGCCCTCATTTGCATAGAAGGAAATGGAAAGGACAAATGCATGGAAATTCAAATGGAAAGTAAATACAGAACTAAATGAAAACAAAATGTGGCATAAATATACATTTCTATTAGGTAATTAATGCTTACATCTATTGTTAATGCTGCTGCTTTAGTAGTTAGAGGTTTTTTAATTTTTAAGGTTTTTTTTGGGAGGATTTCTTGTCTTTTTAGAGTTTAAATCAACAGAAATTATTATGAGTTCAAGTGTGTATGTCAGCCAAATTTAGACGCCTTTATAAAGGCTTTATCCCAAAAAATAGCATCAATGGATGTCTGCAGGTGCCAGATATAACCTGCAGACTACAACCCGGTCTTAGAAATGTGCAGCTTCAAAATGCATTAGGATAAACTTCGTATGAATGGCAGATCTAAAATGTGAAATTGGACAACAGATCTCACTGGCTGAAACCAAAAACCTAAATTTCTTTTGTCTTTCTCCGCCTCCGCAGCTACATCATGGGATTTGTGAGTAAAGAGATGGAGCGAGCCTTGTTGAAGGACAAAGAGCCAGGCACGTTCCTGTTACGCTTCAGCGAGAGCCACCTCGGCGGAATCACCTTCACCTGGGTGGAGCACGGCGATAACGGTGAGATTTCCCATAAACCAACATCATCAGACCACGTGTGGTAATAAAATGCAAATGTATACCAAACCTTTAACTATGATAAGACCGTTAAATAAACTTTGTTGATAGAAAATCTGTGCGGTTTTACTTGCTTTGCTGACAGTGGACAACAAAGTTTGCTAACAGTAACTTTTCACACCAGGTGAGGTGAAGTTTAACTCTGTGGAGCCTTACACTAAAAACCGGCTCAGCGCGCTCCCGTTCGCCGACATCATTCGAGACTACAAAGTGATCTCAGACGGGGTTGTCCCCGAAAACCCACTCAAGTTCCTCTACCCCGACATCCCCAAAGACGAAGCATTCGGGCGGCTTTACAACAGCCAGCCCAGCAAAGGTAAGATCTAATTATGAGGTGAAGTGTTCAAGTTTTTGCTGGGAAACTCTCAGGCTAATTCTCAGGTCGAATTAAATATTAATATAAACCTCTGTTAAACTTCCAGTGCATCCTTACATCCCATCAACCCTGATCCCCATCTCAGAAATGCGGTGAGTTCATATTTCACTCAAGTCGAGCTCAGTTAACTTTAAGCAGAATTTCAGAACAGGTTAAATGGATTTTAACGTCTCTTTTAATGTATTTCAGCTCCAACGCGAGCACCACCCCGCGGTCGTGTCAGTCTCCGGAGCCCCCGATGACACCTGGAGAGTTTGACATGCTCAATGAGCACCTGTGCTTCGACATCGACACCGTAAGTTTACATTATTGTACTTAGTGGATAATACTGGTAATAATATGCACTTTATTATTGTAAATGAATAAGACACTGTATGTGTCTTATAACTCTTAACTCTTATCGCTCTGTGCAGTAGAGCTAAAATAGAAAAAGGTCAAATGTGGAAAACTTCTGGAAACCTCATAATAAAAACAGTAAATTCCTTATTCTGCTTTTTTCAAGTCAACGTAGTCTATAAAAGATCAGAAGTTAGAGATTACACATTACTGCGACTAAAACCAAAAATCTGGGTTTTGTATATTTTCTGTATTTAAAATGTATTCTGACTGTAATCAGATTACATTTCTTGTTGACCTGTGATCGCAGGCTGAGATTAAATAATTGAAGACGGCCTCTGATTAGCCTTGCTGAAACGGAAGACTGCTTTTTGCTTAATCTTAGAATTTGTTGAATCTGTCCCGATGTTATGCCGCTAATATTTTTCTTCTTTTTGCGTTTACAGATGAGCTCTCCGTATTCAGAGTAAAAAGAGGGAAGAAAAAAACATCTGCATCTGGAGCTTCTTTGAATCCTTTGTCAATATCGTGACTCCCGTGAGACTGTTGTTTTTACAGAGTTTGTGGTTAATGTGTTTTTAAAGCATATCTTGCTTTGTTGTCCATGAAAGAAAAGTTTGTATCATGCTGGTTTTGTGCCTTTAATATTTTGCATGTTCAGTCATGTTTTTCTATAAGAAATGAATTGTATATAAATCAATCTGAACATGTTTTGTTTATGTTTTTTGTAGTTGACATTATTTTGATACTTTATGTCTGCAGCTGTCTCTTTTACCTGTTTGTTATTGGCAAAAAAGTTAAATACACGCAGTGTTTTGATTCCCTTTGTCTTAAACTCATTCACACAGTCGCTCAGCTCTCCTGCCCCCTGCTGGTCACCTCACTGAAACAGCACCGAGGTTTTGTGCTTTTATTTCGAAAGCAGTAGGAAGTGAGACGTCGGCATGTAACAGCTGCTGCTGCTTGGCGGTTTTTACTTACGGCGTTTCTGGAGAATCACGTGATTCTCGGTGATTGTTGAAGGGTGAGGCTGTATTTGGGTTCTTGCGGAAGTAAAAAAAAAACAACAACAAAAAAACCAACAACAGCAAAAAACACGGCTGAGGTGTCCCAGTGTTGCTGCTGCTGCTCAGAAATTATTATCATAAAGAATAAATCATTATTTATACCATGTTATTCATGAATCCCCATTACTCCTAATCAGATTATTTACTGTATGTGTGAACCTCTGGCCACAGTCAGGTTATTATGCAACAGCATGGCTGAACATTTTTTTAAAGAATATGTTGACTTAAAAAGTACAACTTTGTATTACAGAAGATCAAAAATGCCAAAATAAAAAGTAAATCTTGGTGCTTTGACTGACAGGTGTGTTCAGACACAGGCAGGTGTTAAATGTCTTTTCGGCATTTCCACTCCTTTGAGTCCCAGAATTTGACCTCTGGTCTCTGTCTCTGTGAGTTACACCTGTGTGAGTAATGGAGGAAACTTGTGAGCTGAAAGCTCAGCTCCCCACCCTCTCATCCAAATATAGTCACTTCTAGTTTAAAGAAAAGTAACATGGAAGCGGGGGTGGTAGGTGGAGCTACAGCATTTTTCAGTGAATGGATGGGGGTTCAGTGTCTGTTCTTGTCCAGGGATGTTTCTGCATGCAGACTGAAGGACCGAGGGATCAAACCCTGGATCTTCTGATTAGTAACGCAGGTGCCAAAAGTAAGACATTCTGTACTTGAGTAGAAGTACAGATGCTAGTGTTTTAAACATAAGCCAAGTACTGATTCAACTTCTTTACTCAAGTAAAAAAGTAAAAAAGTACTGTCTCTGATATTTACTCAAAGTAAGAATGTAAAAGTAGCTCTTTGGAGGACTTTTCTGCCAGCTGTTTTTGTACAAAGGCAACTGAATCTTGTGCTGTATTAATAATAAAATAACATAGTAGTATAAACTTGATTTCAGTATAAATTGTAATTCTAATAAATGTGTTCAGCTTAAATCAGTTAAATAGAACATGAGCAGAAAAAAGAAGGATAATAAAACATAGCTCTATTTTTTTTGTTGCCTACATTGTAGAGCAGGGTTCTCAAACTTAAATGAGCTGTGGGCCACTGCTGGCACTGTCATCTCATGTGAGGACCATTTTAGTGTTCAAGTAGTACAAACAAATGAGAAAACACCCACAAATATTCCCAGTGTTTTGTTTGTTTTTTCAAATTTCAAATATTGTACAACAAGACGAAACTGCAAATGTGAACGAATTTCCTTCTCCCCCTCTAAGCCTTTCATTGAACTTCCAAATAAACACATTGGAACTCTCTTTCTGTTCAGACATCTGGCAGCACTTCTGCTGTAATTTCTTTTGTATTTAACTCAATAGAAATGCAGACATAGTTTTTGACTGCTAGTGAAAATAGTTTTCCTTACAAATAATTCTCTTATACTGCCTTCATATTAACTCATTTTTTGCTTTTTAAATAACTTATTTTAGCATTGCACTCAACAACAAACAAATCTTCCCTAACAAAAAAAGTAACTTCAAGAGCCAAACTGCATTATATTTCTTCACGTCAATATAGTGGCACCCGGGCTGCCAGTGTGAGACCCATGTTGTAGAGGGTAATTTTGTTTCTAAATAGGAAAAAGGTTGTTGGGAAGAGATTACAGGGATTTAGCAGTGTGGGGAAAAGAAGGTGCAAAAATCCAAAACAAAGACACCAGACAGTACAGACCGATACAGACACAAGACAGTGCAGACACAACAGTGCAATAGAAATGTGCAGAAAGAAAAAGTATTGTGGGAAAAAAACGGATAAAAACGGGTTCATGCGCGCTGATGTGCAACAGCCCACCAAACTGAGCTGAAACCTGCACAGAAAACAGCTGTTTTCAGGGTTTCAACATCTGGCTGTTGTTATTTTTTCTTTACTTTGTGACTTGCCGGATGTCGGCTGCAGCCAGGTGCTCTTGCCAGCTTTACGCACTCAGCAGGACGATTTCTGGAGAATCACGTGGTGAGTGTGAGTGGGCGTGTGGAACGGAAGTTCGCGTCCTCGTTCTTAAGGCAAGAATTAACAGCCAGATCAGAAGGCTGGAGGTCGCTTGTGATTTTTGTCCTGCTTTCACCTGTCCGATAAAGAGCCACCCACCAAGGTAAGTCATGATTTCTGCGCAAAAAAACAACTTTAGTTCTATTGCGGGCAGCCTTGTGCGCAGCTTATGGCCCACTTTTCCTCCTAAATGTGCGCGATCCTGATTTTTAGAAGTAGGTAATTGTCTGATAAAAGCTGTTAAAAAGGCAAATGTAAATAAATGAAAATCCTCGGTTCTTGAAGTTGCTGCGGTGTTGTTGCATTTCTTGGAAATCCCCTCCGATTATATTAAAGATCGGGGCAAAACCTTCCAGTGAGCTCAGTTACATTATTTACCGATAGCTGGCGACATCAATACGCCACCACAATCGCTTTGCATTACATAAACACATAAAACTAATCAGGTCATCATTACTCACACCTCACTTTGGTGCTGTGCTTATTCGAATTATTTTGAGATTTCCACGTTCTCTGTGTCCACAGACATTCCCTTTGGCTGATAAATAAGATAAATATAACTGCATGGGAGTTTAAGTCAGCTTTTAAGGACTAAACTGTCAGTGTGATCACTTTTGAAACTGCACTTGTTACAACATGTGATCTGACGATTGGCGGTACACATTTTTCAGTGAGCGTCAGTCATATTTGTATGGTAAATGGACTAGTTCTTATATAGCGCTTTTCCACTCTTCTGAGCACTCAAAGCGCTTTACACAACTTGTGCATTCACCCATTCGCACAAGCACAACTGACATTCACACCCATTCGCACAAGCACAACTGACATTCACACACATTCATACTCCGATGAATGCATCGGAGAGCAATTTCGTGTTAGTATCTTGCCCAAGGATATTTGGCATGCAGACTAGGGAAAGCCGGGAATCGAACCACCAACCTTCCGATCAGTAGATGACCTGCTCTACCACCTGAGCTACAGCCACCCTATGATTATATATGGTTATAGTCATGGCTGCCCTCTTGGCCAGGCCACACTTAAAAACAGATTTTTAATCTATATAAAACTTTATCTTAAATTACTCTAGCGTAAGATATATTTCTGTTAATAAAATGGAGGAAAATAACGGTAAAGACTCCTATCACATCTGTGGACCAATCAGAGGCCCTGAACTCGTAAAAAGAGGTTCGTGTCTTTGTGATTGCAGATGGCTCAGTGGCAGGCCCTTCTGAAGCTGGACTCTGCACTCCAGAGCCGGGTCTGCCAGCTGTACGAGAGAAGATTTCACAAAGAGATTCGCCACTATCTGAGCACCTGGATCGAGAACCAGGACTGGTAAGACGGGGCTGGATGCAGGAGCAGGGAAAATAGTTATGGTCTAAGATTAAAGAGCTTTAACTTAATAATATAGTAAGTTGTACAGTATGATGTAAGGAAGATTGTGAAATCGTAAATTGTTTTTCAGCACATGCAAACAGATGCAGTTCTGCAGTTAAATCTTCTGTTTCTCTGCATTAGGGATTCGGCAGCTGTGGAAGAGCACAGAGCCAGAACCTGTTTCCAGGCTTTCCTGGTGTTTCTAGAAGAGCAGTGGAATCGTTCTGTTCAGGAGAACAATATTCTGCAGGGGCCAGATTTTTCCAGGATGAAGGACTACCTGCTGGTAGAACAGATATGATGCTCTGTGCAGAAAAAATTTAATTATTTGAAAATACACTTCCAGTAATGGTTCTTTCTGCTCCTTAGGAGCATTTCGAGGGTGAGCCGCTGAAATTGGCCCTAATTCTGTCTGAATGCCTGAAGGAGGAAAAGCAAATTCTGGCTTCGGTCTCTCAGCCTCAGGTCAGTTAAATGCTGTTCTAATGAAGAGCCTGGTTTCATTCCTAAGTCATATTTACACAGACAGGTCTGTCCCAAGGTCACTGCAGTTAACCAAAAGTAGATATGAGAAGATTTTAGTAGAATCATAGCTTTGATGCACACTAACTGTAAACATGTGCCTGGGTTGCTTATAGAGAGAGTTACAATTAACGGCAGAAATACATTTTCCCGGACCAGTGAGTAGGTGGAACTGTAAAAATTGCTCATGCTAACAGAAAACGTAGCATTGTGAGTCATAGCAAAGCAAATATGGCAACACGTTAGAGCGAAAGTGTGATCACAACCAGAGGAAAGGAAAAGTAAATATACATTTTAATTATAAATAAATATTTGATAATAATTGCAAACATGTGACAGAACCTTCTTGTTTTTGTCAGAGTTGCAATAATTCAAGCATGCAACAAAGCTGGAGAGAGTTGGACGACAAAGTCAATGAACTGAAGCGACAGACTTTGGTAAGATTACTGGGATTTTATTTTCAGCCTTCCAAGAAAGATAAATGTTTTCCTTTTGGTTTTTAAACCAATGCACTTTTACTCTAATGTAGGAGACCAAGAAGGAAATCAAGACACTGGAGGGTCTGAATGAAAAACTGGACTATATTCTGATGGCCTGGCAAAATAAAGGTACGATAGCACGACCACATATTGTATATAAAAGATGGACATAGTCGCCATGCCATTACCTACTGGTTTTTGAAGTGTGGACGACATTAAAGCATTAATTTTAGCAGTGTGATTAGTAATAAAATCCTAGAAATTTCACTAATCAAAACTGAGGCTGTAACTCAACACAGCCCTTGCCCATCCTTAAAAAGGCACAAACACTGCAGTGACTCCGGTTAGCTGAGCGGAAGCCCAGTAGACATCTGACAGCTACCGATGCCTCTGTCACCTGTCAATCAAACTGGCCATGCCCCTCAAAGTAGGGAAGGAGGGAAGTATCTGCAAAGATTAAACCTGTTTTTTGTAGCAGGCTGAAAACAAGGTGATGTTGTGGCATAAATTTGGGCATTTTAATCTGGGAGTCTATGGGGACTCTGACTCACTGTCAGAGTCAACTTTCAAGTGGCCACTAGTTTAGTCCCATTTGTCAGCCCAGGAGTTGCTTGGCAGGATTAAAGCCTGGCAGGTCTGGTTTGTCACTCA